TTAGAAGATTGAGCTTTCTGATCCCCAAACCGCTCATTCTAAGCTCTTTCTAGAGCTTTAGCACGATTTACTACTTCCTGAAACGAGGACAAGTTCAAAACAATCAACATCTCTTTTAGCCTTGGTCGTAGTCCTTCAACAAACCACTCACATGCTTCTTTCTCTGTCCGAATCAATTCGGCCGCGAATCGACTTAACTTGTTGAATTCACACTCATATTCATACACAGTGCGATTCAGCTGTTTCAAATTCAAGAATTCTTGCTTCATTTCCCTGATGAACTGATCTCCTATATACTTGTGCTTAAACTCTTCTAAAAACAAATACCATGTTTTCTGATCATTTGGCATCCTATGAATAACATTCGTCCACCAGATTCTCGCTTGCCCACGGAGCAAAGAGACCATCCCATCTAGTTTCTCCATATCAGAGCAGTGGAGTCCCTCTAACATGATCTTTACATCATTAAGCCAAAGGTCCGCAACAACAGGACCTTCTTCGGCTTCACCTTTGAACTCTGGAGCTCCTAATCCCTTTAACTCTTTGGCTATATTAATCCTCTGCGTTGAGGATGCAGGAGTTTGGAACGTGTCAAAATAGTGCCCAACGTCCTGAAGAATACATTTTGATCTTGTACAGGCACTCCAGAGGGTGCCTGTCCTTCACCTTGCCTGGCCAGGGCAGGTGAATTACTATTTTCAGCTAATCTATCATCTCTCGCTTCACCCCGAGAGCTATCTTGTCCGGACATCTAATAAAAGATAACCAAGAATTTCTATCAGCTAAACAACATACTCATTACTCGTATCAGATCAGAAGTTCTTACTACTGTGTTGGCATGAACACTTTTTAAGACACTATGGACTCTGGTTTATGCCGAGAATCGACTAAACCGTAGCTCTGATACCATTAAATGTAACACCCTCAACCCGTATCCGACCCGGATACAAGTCTGAGGTGTCACATTGACTTTTCAAACTTTAATCTTTTAACGAAAACCAATGAAATTTAAAACTTTTATTAAAATAACATTGTCACTGCACACGAGTTAACCAAAACAAGACAAAACTAATCAGAGCATTTGAACTAACACTGTTCTTACATGCCAACACACTACATACAACAAAATACCTACTGTGACTTTACTTCTGATCTGATCGCTGAGTAGAGATAGGTTGATCTGCAAATTCCTATTCTTGATTCTCCTGCTCTTCGAAACCTACGTGTAAAAACACTTACACGCTAAGTCATAGACTTAGTGAGGCATAATTACATAATAAAGAATTATTAAAATATAAACATGTCGTCTACTATCCAAACACAATTATACTATCATACCATCATTTATTATACCACATATGAGCCAATATAAATCGTAATAATACCATATTAAGATACAACTATATACATCCTCGTTATGTCTTATTTAAGCCCATATACACTATTGAGAACCCAAGGTATACGAGTATTATGAGATTGTGCACACGTATGCTGTCCCCACAGCTCCATGAATTTTCCGAAGGACCTATCCAGAGGTCATAAAGATCCTCAGTAACTGTCCAGAGGTCATAAAGATCATCGGTAACTATCCAGAGGTCATAAAGATCCTCGGTAACTATCCAGAGGTCATAAAGATCCTCGGTAACTGTCCAGAGGTCATAAAGATCCTCGGTAACTATCCAGAGGTCATAAAGATCCTCGGTAACTATCCAGAGGTCATAAAGATCCTCGGTAACTATCCAGAGGTCATAAAGATCCTCGGTAACTGTCTATAGGTCCCGAAGAACCTAGGTAAACTATCCATATGTTCCTTAGAACATAGGTATACTGTCCATATGTCTCGAAAGACATAGGTAGTTCTTTGACTCTTGGCATACCAACTATACTTACAGTTCTCATAACTCATATCATGGCATTGTCTTTTACCTTATTACATATTCATACATCATATCACATTTTTCTTTTTCTATAGCTCTTTATCACATGTTCATATGATCATCTTATTACCTATACCTTTTCATATAACCATTACATACATACATACATACATGTCATCCCTCATATGATTTCATATTCATATTCTGTATATTTCATATTCTTTCTTATGTCCTTTTCATACTTCTTATTTCATATTCTTATGAAATCATATTGATCATTTTAACTATTTCACATATTTAACACATTTATCTACATATTTACACAACTCATATAATATATATATATATATATATTGTAACATGTCAATACATATGCTCATTCATACATATAAACCATAACAAACACAGCACACACACTTCATATACCTAATATAGATATCTCGTAACTCATTCATATATAAGCTCTAATCTGGAACATAGACTTACCACAATCTGCATAGTATATCCCATAATGTATATGGTATGAATTCATATCATATTTAATAATATTGAATGAATCATGTATCAAGATATTAAATCTAGACTTATCGCAGTTCTAAAACTGAATATACTAACATAATCCTGTTATGCACATGCACTCACCTTAGCCTTGTTTGAATTGAATCAATTCTAACTCTTCGTTTACTTTGAAGCAAAGTCACGTTCAATATCTACATAAGCATAATTTTCAAGATGATTATCAGATGCCCAAGTCTTGAAATTAACCTCTAATATCCTATCAATTTAAGGGATTAATAGTTTAGTCTCTCTTCTTTCTTCTTTTTTTCATTATGGGGGAATCGGTTCCCCCCCTGGGGGTATCGATTCCCCTCTAGCATTCTGGAAATTCATACTCGTTTGAGGGGTGATCGATTCCCCTTGAATGGGTACCGATTCCCCTAGCCCAGAAATCTCATTTTGAGCTCGAAAATCACCTTATTTCAGCTCAAACCTTCCTATTTCACTTCCTTTAATACTCCTAACTTTAATACACATACTTAAACTTATTCCTATTCCCTAATCACTTCTTTAACTTCAAATCTAGTCATTCCTATGTAATTGCAAAAATTATACTAGTTTTGCAACATGTTCAAATTCATATTCTAACACTTCCTATCCCTTAATTGACTTGATGACAAGTCAAATTCAACTTCCAATTCTCAATATAAACTTTATTTCGATATTTCATTCAAAAACTTCAAATCTTTAAATCTTCATAAACTCTTCATTTTGTTGTTTTAAAGCTAATTAATCTTTCCTTAATCTTACTTAGCATCTAATAATCAAAACTAAACTTAAATTTCAGCACATAATCAGCTCAAGAGAAAACTCACATTTGCTTGGCTTCACACGTGAAGAAGAAGAAGAAAAAGAAGGGAACTCTGGAAACCTCTAAAGTTTATTTCCTTCCTTCCACGTGCATCTATAAATACCATATATTATTATTATATTTTTTTTATTTTCTTTACAAATGACCATACTATCCTTTCATTCCTCATTCTTTTCAATTTGATCTTACCCCTCATTTCTCATATAAGTCTTTAAACCACTCAATTATTCTAATTTAAATCACCAAATTTTGAAACCTTACAATTTAGTCACTAACCCGATATTAAGGATGTTACACATGCTATGTGTGTTGCCCATGTTTTAGCATTACCAGATTTTGGTAAAAGTTTTTACTTGGAAACAGATGCAAATTCAGGAGGAATTGGTGCTGTATTATCTTAGGATGGTAGACCTATTGCCTACCTTAGTAAGGCTCTTAGTCTTAGATATGTTGCCCTTTCTATATATGAAAGAGAGTACCTTGCTATTCTCTTAGCAGTCTCTAAATGGAGGCATTATTTAGAAAGCAGTCATTTTGTCATCAAAACAGACCATGAACCTCTCAAGTACTTGTTGGAGCAGAAATTAACTACTGCTATTCAAAAGAAGGGATTGACTAAACTATTGGGATTGGACTACACTATTCAATACAGGAAAGGTAAGTCCAATGTAGTTGCTGATGCCCTCTCTAGACAGTGGGAAGATCAAGGTCAGTGTCTGGCTATGGGTACTACCTTAATCGTTCCTAGTTGGGTGCAGGAAGTGAAAGACAACTATAAAGAGGATAGAATGACTACTGAATGGATATCTATATTAACAGTCAATCCCACTGCTGATCCTAGGTGGAAATATTTTAAGGGTATCCTTAGATTTTAGGATAGGGTTTATATTGGGGTTACTGGAGCTCTAAGACTACAAATCCTTCAAACCCTACATTATTCATCTCATGGAGGTCATGCAGGAACACATGCCACTTATCAGAGGATTAAAGCTTATTTTTATTGGCCTAGGTTGAAGGCTATGGTGGCAACTTATATCAGGTCCTGTACAGTGTGTCAACATACTAAAGTAGAGCATGTTGCTAAACCAGGACTCCTACAACCACTGCCTATTTCTCAACAGGCTTGGGAGGTAATTACTATGGACTTTATAGAGGGTTTACCTACATCTCTGAAGAAGAATTGCATTTTGGTGGTAGTTGATAAGTTTACTAAATACAACCACTTTCTAGCATTGTCACATCCTTATTCTGCTGTTGATGTAGCCAAATTATATTTGGATACTGTCTATAAACTTCATGGCCAGCCTAAAATGGTCATTTCTGACAGAGACAAGACATTCACTAGCCTCTTCTGGAGAGAACTAATGAAGCAACTAGGTACTAAAACCCTATTTAGTACTGTTTACCATCCAGAGACTAGTGGACAGACAGAAAGGGTGAATCAGTGCTTGGAACAATATTTAAGGGGCTTATGTTTTTTTCAACCAAAGCAGTGGGCTAAGTGGTTGCCTCATCCAGAGAGGTGGTATAACACTACCTATCACACTGCCTTAAAGCTTACACCATTTCAGGCATTGTATGGTTACAAACCTCCTACTATGGTTTGGCAGACAAAAACTAAAGTATGGTCTGTTAATGACTTAATGCGTAGCAGAGAGGATATTAAACAGTTAGAGAATGCAAGCAACAGAATGAAACAACAAACAGACAAGAAGAGATCAGAGAGGGTATTTGCAGTTGGAGATACAGTTTACCTGAAGTTGCAACCATATCGCCAAACTTCACTGGCCCTGCGAAAAAATTTAAAGTTAGCACAAAATATTACGAACCTTACAAAATTATTGAGAAAATTGGCGAGGTCGTGTATCGATTGGACTTACCAGATTCATCACGATTGCATCCAGTTTTTCATGTGAGTCTCCTGAAGAAACACGTTGGTGACTCAGCAGTGTCTTCAATGGATCCTCCTGCAATGGAAGAAGACGGTAAGATTCGAATCGAGCCATATAAGGTTATGGGCAAAAGAATAATAAATTGGCAAAACAAACCTGTCACGCAATTGTTGGTGTGATGGACAAACATCGATTAAACCAGTGATACGTGGGAAGATTATATTGTCCTCAGAGGCCAGTTTCCAGGCTTTGATCCTTGGGGACAAGGATCGTTTCTAGCGGCGGGTATTGTCACAGTCGGAGGAGATGAGCGTGGAAATGAAAAAGGAATTGGGAAAGAAGAAGTCAAGGGTTAGGGATTGAGGCACGATATGGGACTGAAAATGGGGAATTAGGGACTGAAGCACGAGAAGGGAGAATGATGTACTTACCCTCTGAAGTGGAACAACCCGTGTACCCGGTTCAGGTAGAGTTGGATCCGCCCGAGTCTCCAGTCCAGGAAGAGTTGGAGTAGCCCAAGTCATGTGGCCCAATAACCTGCAAAGAGAAAGAAGATAAGCTTAGTTTGTTATAAACTGTTAGAAAGGACAGCCAGCTGGCATCCTTTACAATTTCCGTTTTTAGCCCTGTAACTAAATAATACTGGCTGTAGAGGCATTTGATTCCTCAAGTTATGAATGAAGTATTTTCTTTTCTATGAATTCTCTATTTATCTATTACCTTCTTCTCGAAACCTTTCTATTTCTCCTAAACTATAACAGTGTGTACCGTTTCCAATTGGTTTTGTGCTCTGATTTTATGTCCATAATTTTCTTGTAACATGTGATTCCTTAGGAGTGCACATGTCATTGCTATTGATATTGATCCAAAGAAGATCGATTATGCATATCATAATGCAGCTTATATGGTGTCAATGACCATATAGATTTTGTAATTGGAGATTTTTTTCACTCTGGCACCTAAGCTAAAGGTACCAGTCTTGATTTATTGTACATTATACTTTTAGTTCTTACTTTATATGACAATTTATTCTGTCCAGCAGAACAACCATCCTTTTACCCCATGTATTTGTTTTGCCTTCTTTTTACTTGTCTAATGACTTATGACTTCCATGTATCTGGTGCTGTAGGCACACACAGTCTTCTTATAACCTCCTTGGGGGGGGGAGGGGGGTCCTGATGTTTTAAGTGTATTGGGCTTCTTTATCTGGGCTGGTTCAGCAGAAAGAGATATCATTTTAACTCCCCGTGCTCCTCACGTGTTTAGGAAAAACTCCCCAATTCCATATCTTCAATCCCCAACTCTCACTCATCAATTCCCAATTTCTTCTCGTCTAAACGCCATTCTTCTTCTCTGATTGTAACATATTTTTGTTTTGGTTGTTTTCCAATCGGGTTACTTTCGGTTTGAATTGATTTCGATTTAAGTTATTTTTTATTCGAGTTACTTTCGGTTCGTATAAAAAAAAAGTGTTTACCACTATGCTAACATTTAAAATTTGTTTTTGGTGCTTCTTAATAGTTGTTTTGATTCCGTTTTCATTACACTTCTGCAGATATTTCCCGTTTAATGTTGCAAAGAAAATTGGGTGCAGAATTGTCATGTTTCTCCCTAGAAATGTAGATCTCAACCAATTGGCGGAAATGGCTCTGTCTGCACAGCTTCCATGGTCATTAGAGGTGATCTTAAATTTTATTCATTAGTGAACTTTACTGAGATTTATATATTTACGCGCACACACATACTTAGTAGGCTACGGTGAAAATCAATTTTCCAATTAAAGATGCCTTATTGTTCTTGTAAATGGTTGATTCTCGATGTGTTCATTAGAAATATCAATATTTTTACCAGAGCTCCCTCACAAATCATGATACTTGGTTTGTGAAAGGTATGATCTTACATTTGTTTCTTAGGGTCAAATTTTGTTAATTATAAATACCTAAGAATAAATAGGGCCCATAAATTTTTGGCTACACAGTGTGGAATGCTAGTAGAATGCTGAGGTTTTTGTTCTAGTGGGCAAGTTTAATCCCGGACAGCCCCTCAAATATATAACAACAACAATACTTACTGATTTTATAGTTGGTGCTTTGTTTTGTGCTTCATATGCAAGTATGTTAGTTAACGAGGATTTATACCTATTGTACCCGGTTATCCTTTTCAATTCTAGTTTTGTGAAAGCTGTATATCCTATTAATTGTTATAGTCGTGTACTCGCTAGCTAATTTTTGAACTAGCTTTGCTGTCGGCTTTTCAATCTTTTTCTTGTTGCTTAAGGCAGATATCTATGATCTTTAGGTCGAGAAGAACTTTTCGAATGGCAAGTTGAAGGGGATAACTGCTTACTTCACGTATACTGCCGACAGAGGGCAATAGATTGGCATCATTCGTTTGAAGTGACGATAGAGAATGGGGTCAACTTTTATGTATCTTAAGCCACCTGATGATTGTAAATGTTGTTTTGTGGTTTCACCTCGAGTGGCCAATTTTGATCACGACGGTATTGGAAGTACTGCAAGTGTTTTGATACCCTGAAAAAGAAAACTCTCTGATAATGTAGACCACAGAGTTACAATATTGTGACTTGCACAGATAAATTTATGCCAACAGAGAAATAGACCTAGGAATATATGCAGAAGTTTATTTCTCGGACGAGTACAATCAACTATTCCAACAATGTCTTACTAGATGCTTTATAGTTGGGTGAGGATTCTTTTCTTCTTTATGGTAGTCGTAACAACTGTCCTTTCTTGTCTTCTCCATGTCTTTCAGGGGTCGTGCCGACAAGCACCTGGAAAAGCCGGTGCCGACAAAACTGCAATACAATGGTGGCATTAAGGTTATTGGTTTGATGAAAGTCAGAAGCTGTTGTGTTTGCATTATAGCTTTTCGAACTGCCTTAACTTGGGAGTTATACTTGTGTAACTTCAACTGTTTCTTTCTTTTTTTATTAATATCAAGAGCTTCTGCTTGTGTACAACTCATACAAGAGATGCGTGCGTTAAACATTGAGTCAAGCGTCAAATATGTGGTATCATGTGTAATTGTGGTTATAAATTGTGATTTATATTAAAATTGTGATTTGTCCCAAAAGGGGTTGCGTCCCAATAAAAAATAATAGCAGCAACAATCAATCAAACAAGCAAGCCTTCTGCAATTGCTCAACAAGCCTCGTGTTGTAGTGAGAACCAAACTGGCTAGAATGTTAGTTTAGTGGCTTTTTTTACTCTATAATGTTATTTAATGATAATATAACATGATTACAATTGATAAATAGTATTGTAAGCACCATTTTTTAACCCACAGGGGTGACCCGGTTCCAGGCCCAGTGTTCGACCTGACCAAGGATCCGATCCGGTCCAGACCCGTTTCCTGCAACAGCCATCCCCGTGCCTTACCTCCCTGCCACAAGCAATGGCTACCAAACCTTTCTCCAGTCTAGGATGAGCCATTTCCCTGACAGCCACCATTTCAGTGGCTGTACTCTGGCACGCTGAATTGCTAGATATAACAATCAAATATATTTGCTTAGGGGGAGGGATTACTTTTCTGTAAGGGTATATATAACCCGAAAAAAATGTAAATGAGGACGGAGCAATAAAAATACAGAAAAATTTTCCAGCAATAAAAAAAAGCAAAACAAAACTGAAATTCTCAAAGGTATTTTTTCCATTCTAAGTTTATTTGTTTAATCCTTAGAATCTAACTAAAGAATAATATTTTTTTTATTTCGATTCTTTATTTATACTAGTTCGAAGCTTTTAAAAAAATAGAGATATGGGTTAGAAATACCTTGCTGCCGGAGTGATTGTCGGGGTAGCAGTGTCGTTGGTGTGGAGTGGAGGTCGGACTGCCACCGCGTGGTGGTCCGGTGCTGGGTTCTCGCCCGAGGATGGAAACATCGTAGGGAACGATGTTTTTCGTTTCGTGGTGTTTCTAACACCGTGGTTGCTGCGAGCAAAGGAGAAAGAGAGATGAGAAGAGTGGAGCTGGGGTAAATATCGGGTAGAATGGGTTTAAAAGACAGATTCTTATCTTGTTTTTTTGGGTAAATAACGCTAAGGTCCTTGAATCTTTAGCGTGTTTTGTGTCTCAGTGACTAAATAATGAGTTTATTACGTATAGGTTCCCTCACTTTAGGAATTCCATGTCATTCTGGTCACTCATTTAAGGTTAAATCACGGTTTGGGTCCTTGTCTTTAGTATAGGTAGCATTTTGGGCATTTTTGGATCCAATTCGCCTTAGGTCCCTTCTAGTTTAGCGCGTTTTGCGCTTTCGTCACCATTTCCTTTGATTTTATATGATTTACGAATTAGATGCATGAGTTTGTATTATTTTAATTTAGTCCTCTGTTGTATGTATTTATTTTTGAGATGGCTACTGATATTTATGTTCTTTCATTTTAGTCCTATATATTTATGGCGTTATTACGATTCTGGTGCTCCTACTATATCAGTTTCTTGTTTCATGTCATGATATTTGTTTTATTAATGTTTATGATCTTAAAATTATTTTACATTTATTTTGTCACCATATAATGAATCCAATATGTATTACGTATTTATTTTATGTATATTATTATATGTTTATTTTACGTATATTATTATATATATTACTTTATTATATATTTATATAATACTACATGTAATATATTGTGTAAATGTTATATTTTACCTCTTAGTACATTTATAATAAATGTTATGTTCTATGCTAAATATCATGAAAAAATATATGTATAGATTTTATTAAGTAAACTAAAATTAAAATACCTTCAATTGTTTTTAGTCCATATGTATATGTATATTTATATTTTTTCTTTCTTCTTTAAATGCTCTAATTTACCATTTTAATTTAATTACATTTTATTTAGGCATTCTTATTTAATCATGACATTTTATTTCGCCTAAAAGCCCCATAATCATAACTCAACCAATTACATAATTGGGTTAAGGGTAATATTTATTTATTTTAAAATATTAAGAAGGGACGGTCTTAAAGTAACTAGATGTCATTTTTCGATGTTTTAAAATAAATAAATACCACACTAGAAAACCCTAAAAAATTGGATTGCATAAAAATTAATTAATTTTGAAGGGAAAATGAAATATTCACTTATTTAAACTTATCGAGATAATTCACCTAATTTTATTAGAGATTAAATCTCGATATTTTTGAATAATTGAATATCCCTTATCTTTTCAAATAATATAATTAGGATAAATTGGCTTAATTTCTTTCTTTGGTAGAATAAAAAATTATTTTTATATTGAATTCTTTGGAAAAATTATTATATTCCTTTTATTTCAGTTGGAAAGATAAATATTTGTCCTAAAGTATTTTAGGGAGTATTTTCTCTTCAATTGGAAATATGAGAATATTTTCTATTTCTCCTTAGATTTTTCCATTCAATAACATTGCATGGTTGAATGCGGAATAATGGAATCATTATTTAAATTTATATTTGAGTTTTTAGATTTCTACTATTAGAGACAATTTATAATCGATGGGTACCAATATTGGGCGTTGTGGGGGTGCTTATCCTTCCCCATACGTAATCGACCCCCGAATCATTTTTACTAAAAATGAATTTCTGGTTACACGCAGACTGATTTATCTTTTAAAATGATGTTTTCTTAAAAAACTCTTTTAAAAGAAAATTTTTAGGTATTCGACCTACCTAACTCAAAAGATCGATGGCGACTCCAAAACATTTCAAAACCTTTTCAAAGAATACCGCCAAGTCGTACTAAGTTTTTCCCCGCCCGGGAGAAAACGGTGTCGATAGCTTGGTGACTCCGCTGAGGACTTAGAGGTCCAAGCCTTAAATAGATTATATATTGTCGTTATAGTTAGAAATTGAGAATTCGACTTTATTTAATTTACGATTCCTTTGATTTCTTTCCATCGTTATTTAATTTTATACTAATGTGTGTATTTGATTGATTTTCAAATACTAAAGTCTTGGATTCGCTTTAGTATGTTTTTGTGTAGTTGTTTGTCAAATGTTTGATAATTTCTCCTCACATATGACACTTGCATTGCATAACATAAGCTCTATACCCGAGCTTTTCCTTTTTAAGTGGGAGTGAAATCGAATTCTTTGTGAGAATTTATTCTCCGTGTCAGACCTAGCAAGTAGCTTCAGGGTTTATATGTCCTATGTCTTCGTGAAGATTTATTCTCCGTGTCAAGCATAGGGAAATATGCCCCTCGAATTGAACTCGATCCGCTTAAGCCTATAATGGGTGAGGATTGAGGGTCTGGCTCGCCCAATGGGGCATCGACAAGGACAATTCGAGTACTTTTACTCTTATAACTGAAACTATGCATATAATAAACCGTAGAAACCCACTCGATCTAAAATCATGCTGAAACCATGTCCGTAGGTACCCAAATAAGTGTACACAAAGGAGAAATGAACTCTAACCTTTGTCTTTTAATAGATTATTTATTTTTTGTATTTTTATTATTATAATTGCATATGAACTAGAAATTATGTGGTACCTCTATGTGTTTTATTCATTGTATTTTATGGTTCATTTACCAGTTGCATTTAATCTTTTAATAATTCATTTCCTATATTTGATTATTATTTTTTAACATATTTTCCTTGTCATGTTGCTTTATTTGTGCATACACATGTTGTTAATTACCTTGAAATTAACACATGTTTCATACATATCATGTCATAGAAGATATTGATTCCCGAGTTAATAGTCACATTAGAAAGCTTTTAATACGACAATGTAACTCGAAGAGGTAGAATAGAAATGTAAAAACACATCAATGGCCCAGAAGGGTACTCCAGGAAACAACTGAAGAGCTACGTCAACTTGGAATACATGAAGCTCAAATAATGTAGTAAAATAAGCTTTTCAAGGGTGCTACGACGATGTTGATACAACTAGCCGAAAAGAAATAATATGTTTCAAGCCATCAAGCAACAACGATAAATAACACAAGACAGTGTATGATGCTAATCACATATGGTCACTCAACAAATGTATTTCTGGAAAAGAAGTCGAAGCGTTGGAATTTTCCATCAAGCCAAGAATAAAAGAATATTGATTCCTTACATATTCGACCACAATTAAAGAAGTCGAGCAGTGTGATGTGGTTTGTAGTTTCCATCTACCTCGGTGTATTGAGACATTGTGTGTTCTTTGGAAGTTGTTTTATGACAATTACTTTGGAATCAACACCTTCGTTGCATTTCCATCTTCGCATTTGCATTTACATTTACACCAAACATGTTGCTATATGTCCTAACTTGTTTTTCTCTACTTTTTTTTCTTGCACCATATGGTTATGACATATGCAAAAAGGTGTCGTTTCTGAGTGTTCATCAATTAAAAGGTTTTAACAATGGACAAGGGGTTTCAAGATCAGGTAGGCCATGCTACAACTAGGAAATGGTATCTGAAAGAAGTTCCAAGAAAAGTAGAGAGTCGTACGTCCAAAGATCGTATGTCTAATGAAGATAAAAGTGAACTGCAACAAATCAGGGAGCAAATGTCCAAGATAATTGATAGAATAGTTGTGCTGGCCAAAGGAAAAGAGGTTTTTACATAAAGAGAGAAAGAACTTGACAAGAATGATTTTATAATACAAGAGGCTACTTTTGAACAAGGTAATCCAAGTGAACTTGAGGAGCCACGCGCAATCATCGTCCACATCAACAAGTATTCAGGAAGTACAAAGGAAACAGTGACAACGGTAAAATTACAAGTAAAGATGGATGAAAGTAAGCCACATGATCATTTCAAACGGGGTCAATTTGCTTTCACTAAAAATCCATATGCCACCAAAATACCTGTGAATATGAAAATAAAGGATAATATGAATCTAACGGTTCAGCATTTGAAAACAACTTCAAAAACTAATGTTCGCTCAATAGAGACTCACCTCATTGATGACCGAAAGATAGGAGGTAATGATCTTGACTTTGATCTTGATCCTATCTCATATGGAGATTTATACAATAAGTTGTTAGAAGCACGAGAAATGACCCCACAATATGTGAAACCTTTGCAACCTCCATATTCGGAGTGTTATGATGTCAATGCCAACTGTGTATATCACGTAGGAGCTCAAGGAAATTATATCGAGACATGTGTTGCCTTCAAGTGTCGAATTAATTGCTTGCTAGAGCATGAAGTATTGGAATTTGAGAATGAGGGTGAACCGGGTTCAATAGTCGAATATATGGTCGAAACGAAGCCGAGCGAGTTCAAGGAAAAAAGCATCAGTAAGGGTATCCAAAATGAAGAGCGTCTGTTAAAATATGAAGCCAAAATACTTCAATTGCAAAATGAAAAGGACATTCTGAACAGAGAATAGGAAGCCATGCAAGATGGTTTTCAAAGAATCAATCAAACCTTTCAAAGTATTGGGTTAGGTAATACTCCAGAAGAGTGGGAAAAAAACCTCTAAATTGAAGAGTGGTGTCGAACAATGGAAAAGAAATTGTAAAATGCACAAAGAACGAGCTAATATGTGCTCTCGTGATCTACAGATTGCAGAAAATAAACGTAAAACAACCTTACAAGAGTTGGGGATATGGAAAACAAATAACAAAATATTGAGAACAACCCTTCGTAGAATCCTCGTTTCAAAACTATAATCGTAAGAAAAATACTGAAATGGAAACAAGTAGAGCCAACAATAAAATAATGAAAGAGTTGATACATGATTATAGAAAGTTTGCACGAGAACTTCATGACCGCATTGAGTCTCTTACGAGAAAGAATGATCAATATTGTCTACAGCTTCAAAGGTTGAAATGTAAGGTGGAGAAAAAAGACAACGCAATGAATGAGGAAGTTACTCAAGCAAGCAATGTGGCTCATAAGTTGGTCGAATTAGCTGTCTTTGCAAGATATTTGAAGCAGATTGATGGCTTATCACCAGATCATGCTTGAAAGATAATATGGCTCATGAGAGAGATAGAAAAGCTAGGAGCCAAAGCTGTTTATTA